ATACTGACCATGTACCATTTCCCTGTACAGCCCAAGCACTATGCATTAGTACTGACCTCGAGGGACCAGCTCCAGCAGGGACAGAGAGAGAGCTGTGCTCATTACAGACTTTATTTCCTGAGACTACCAACGAGGATGCTAACTGAGGCTGCTATAAAATAGTAAAAATTTTTGGCACTGAATTGAATTTTAGTAAGGCATGTCATCTCTTGAAAGCTACAGACTTCTCCACGCCTAGAAATTCTGAATATTCTCCTAGCTCTTTGACACTGTACAAATGCCATGTTCTGCCCATTGTTAAGCAAGAAGGGACATCTTCATCAAGTCCAGGCGCTTTGCAGGCATGCTATACTGCCCTTCTTTCGAAATTCTTGAACTCATAAAAGTACTCAGTTGTTGCGACCCAATGTTCCATCTCGAAGCTCTTCCAGAATGGTTTCATTGTTGTTCCAGCAGTTAGGAATCTACATCTAAAAACTAATGATGATATCGTTATGGCTTAATTATACCTACTGATTTCTGCAGCACACTTATTTGGATTAAACAGTTCTTCTCACCTGTCTTCCCCTCCAAAGGTATTTTTAAATGGCAATCAAATTATTTCACTCTCTACCTAGCAGCTAGAGATAAGCAAAGAAAGCCTTTTTCATCTCATATGACAGGCTCTTTATGTTGCCCTTCTGCACGGTTATTCCAATTTTAGGTCATGTTATGGAACAAACATGGTCAGCACTGGATGCACTGTTGCAGAGAGGAGTTCACCAGTGTCTGCACAATGGCACTGCAACTTCCCTGCATCAGCTGGAGATTCAGCCATCACGGGATGACATTTGCTATTTCCACAGCTCTATTAAACTGCTGATTTACAGTCATCCTCTCACCAGCTATTACATACATCCTCCTCCTGCTGCTGATGTCGAGCATTTATCTGACTTTCTGCAGTCTATGAAATACAATCTGTTTCATAGCTTAACAACATAGTCTTAAAAAGTTGTGGTGGGTGTTTTTCCAACAAAAGTTCATTTTCAACTAGGAAAACACAGAGAATATTCCTCCCGCATCTGAGCAATGAAATTTCTATAACATTTTAAAATATCCTCACTGACAAACCCACTGACTAAAATAGCTATAAAGTCATGTTATCAATTCCAGAGAAGACAAATGCCATCATGAGACAAAAGTGACAGTGAACTTCCCAGTCCCTGTTCTCTCACCAGTGGTCACAGACTCAGAGGTCACAGATTCATTTTTCCTTCATTATCAGGCCCCAAAAACATGTAAGGAAGGCCTCAAAATGCCTGCTGTTCTTTCCTAACAAAGACATCTGTCTTCAATAGAAACTTCCCAGATAGTTACTGTCTTAGTTCAGCTGCCAAATATTATATGCCTCCTTTATCATCACTGGCTTTGTCCAGCAACTTCTCTCTTGTTACTTCTTTTGCTTTCCAAGCTTTCAGTCACCGCATTCATAATCCACATAATTAATTAGTCAAGAAAGAAATATGTTTTCCTTGTAAAATTACATGTAGGCATTTGGAAGACTCAAAACTCATAATGTCTGGTGCATCTAAGAAGCCAAACACTGTATAGTACAATCAGACGCTTGGGGGGCAAAATTTCACAATTCTGCAACTCTCTGGCAAAAAACCCACCACCCATGTATAGAACAATATTATAAGGTATCATGAAGTTGTTTTCAACTTTTTTCCTGGCACATACAACTGCGCTTCACAGTTGAGTGTATTCACATGTCATAATTACTATTTTTTATTCTTTATTTCATAGAATCACAGAATAATAGAATGGTTTGGCTAAAAAGGTACCTTAAAGACCA